TTTCACGTTAATTAATAATCTATATAAGATGTTATTTATACTGCATTTTCTTGAAAAAAACTGTCAAAAGTACATCTTGCATATATTTTGAAAAACTTTGCTGTTCACAAACTTGAAAAGAGGTATGTACAAACGGGTACAAACGATGCTCCTTCGAACAGCATTGGCCGTTTTGAGATATCAAAAAATGGCAAAAGTATAAAAGTATCTCTTGTACGTATTTTGAAAAACTGTACTTTCGATCTCTTTGAAGTACAAACAGATATAAGCAATGCTCTTTCGAATACCGTTGTCCGTATTCAAATATCTTAAAGTTGGGCGTTTTTTTTCACCCGTTATAACTTTTTAACCCGCTGGATACAACCGAAATGAAAGATGGTATGTACAAACAAGTATAAACGAGGTACAAACCTATGGTATAAACAATTTTTTAATCGGCGTTAAGTTCACATCGGCCTAGTCGAGGACAAGTCGAGCGACAACCAGGCTCCATTAGACCTCAAGAGCCGCTTCACATCTGCGCGCGTGCACGAACACATAGCCATATTACCTGTGCGCGCATGCGCCCGCGTGCATTCCAGTTCGCTCGCTCGCGCATGCGCCGATGGTGTCGTCGTCAGCGGAAGGACGGACGCCGAGAGAGAAGAAAGGCGCGTACAAGAGAGAGGTTAGATTTATTTACGGAAGAAAGCCAATCGCACAGAGGAACCATGGTCAACGCCATGAGATGGCACCACTCGGTGGAGGACGGCCCTCCGCCGAAGTGACCAAAGTTTAATCTGTGACGTCGAACTCAACGGATATAAAAAATTATTTCATACGATAATAAAATAATATATAATAAAAGTTAATTAATAATACATAATTAATAATACAATTAATAATACATAAAACAAATATAGCGTTTTTATATTTTATTTGCAAACTATTTTAGTAACGCAATTACATGAAAAAGATTAAAATATATATAATAACTACTTATTATTTTAATAAATATAATATAAATAAATTTAATAAATATAATATAAATAATTATTTTATATAATAAAATATATAATGTTAAACAATAAATGGCGCACGCGAAGCACGTGCTTTGTTCTAGTTGTAATAAGATATATCATATATTTGTATACTTTGCTCATTTAATTACATACATTTATCAATGTTATATACATATATACATATAAATTTTTTTCTGGAAATTTTTTTATTTTCATTAAAAATAATATGTATTATTTTATTAAATTGTCTACTGAACAATATTTTTTATAGACAAGACAAGTGTTTTTGCAGAACTTTTCGATCAAAAAATAGATCATATTATCTTTTCATGCAACACAACAAGTATGTTTAATTTTTTGCATGCTGCTTATTTTATTCGCTATAATTACATCGTTGACATTTTCAAGCCACGTGTGTTACATTTTCGTATGTTTCAGAGCTTCGGATATTAATTTCATGGGTGCATTTCTCAATTACAACTCGAAAAGGATTTTGTCTTGCATAATCAAAATACAGATGCTTGCAATTTTAAAAACCGTTTTTTCAACAAAACTTAATTGACAGTAATTTATGTCAGGCTAAACGTGGAGTTTGAAACACTTTATATGTACTGATGACCTAATAATATCGCAAATGCGGTCACGGTGGTAATGGAGTGTAATCCCAATGGAACAATATGACTATATGCTCATCCTACTCATCCTATTCATTTCTGCACGATCGTTCACGTCATCGTCACGATCTATAACGGCGGACAGTTGCGATCGTATAGTAAATTTTAAGACAGCTCGAGTATTGTAAAAAAAGAATAAACAAAGATTTATGGAAGAGAAATTTATTCTTGTACACGGAAAGAAAGAAATGAATAATATTTATTTATAAAATTTTAAGATACTTATTAGCGTCAAATATACATATGTATAGGCCCTAATTGAAGTAATATTTCCCGCAATCTTCTTTATTCTTTATAAAAAATTAATTATCAAGTATCGCAAAAAAGTCATTTTTTTTTATATTAAATCTTAATTATTTTGGAAACTTGAATGCTGGAAAAATTTGCTTGCGATACTGTTTTCAGCATCTAAAAATCTATAAAAAATATCTTGTCTGTTCAAAATAATTTTTGGCTGTAAAGTAATATAATTTATTTGTACTTATAAAATTTTTTAATCCATAAAATTTTATCTTATTTTATCTCGTATAGGTTTTTTGTATTATTTTATTTTTAACTTTTATTTTGCTTTTTTCTTTTATCATCGTTCGATAGCATATTGAAACAATTCTCGTTTTCGTTTTCGTTTGCGATATTTCCCAATCGCTGCGCCTTTGACATTTTGCTATCATATGTAAGTAGAATCCATCAAAGAGGTGCAAACTAGGTTTATCTCCGTAGTTAATATGAGCTTTACCAGGGGAACAAGTGCGACACAAACAGACGTTATAAAGTTTATATAGTTAATAATTAAATGTTTCGAAACTGGCGCGCACCGCAAGTACTATTTTGCAAACTGTGTTGTTCACGCTGTATGAATTATAGACATTGTTATGAAGAGAAAGTTGAATGGCGGTATACATATATCTATTATTGTTACGAGATTAGACGCGCAAATGACGATTAATGAATTTCGATGAGGTCTCGTTTGAAAAAGTTTGTAAATATAATATTTGTAAATATTTGTATATTTGTAAATATAATACATATATTAGCGCAAATCGATTAAAGCAAGAAGAGATAATTATAACACACCTGTTTATTTATTTATTCTTATTCGAGCAGTCGTATTCCTGTATAAGAGTAAAATCTTTCTTTTCCTGGATAATTTAATTTTTCTTCCATAATAGATGTTTTCTGGAGCTCGAAATGTATATCTTTAAATAAAACGAAAATTATATAATTTACTAGCTTTCGACATATGTAAAGTTGCAGATATTTTAATAAATTTTCTCACTTTTGCAATTTCCATTTCGTTGTAATTTCCATTTCTATTTTTCATTTAAAAACTCGTTTCATTTCGTTTTTAAGATAGGCTGCGTTCAGGGAACGCGCTATAGCACTATCACATCATTTCATCTTTATTGCTCATTGTAAATTAAGGATAGTTCTAATAGCGCGAACTCAGCCCTAATCCCTCTTTTTTGGACTATGTCACGTCCGAGAAAGCAGAGCTCTCATTGGATATTGCTCATCGCCCGTCGCGTTCAATGTGCGACAGTCATAATAATTCATGCTGCAGCAGCATGTGGAGTTGTCACTGCTGTATATACAGAATGACGTATATACAGAAGGATATTCGATCTTAGCGCCAAATGAAATTCGCAACTCAACGTTTGATAATGTTTGTATCATAGTAATGCTCAAAAGTTATTCTATATTATTATATCTTAAGTCAACGTTTGAATATTAGAGATATAAACATGGATAGGAATGTAGATTTTGCTAGTGCAAATACACAGCATATTCCACAAAACTCAAAAGAGGAGAGAGATAATGTTCTGGCTGCATATCATATTTTGAAGTTTTCAAAAGAAGACAAGAACTGTTTTGACATCGCAGATATCGAACGCAGATCCCTCGCTCTGAAATATATGACAACAAAATTACTGTAAGTAAAACTTGTTTTCTGTTATTAAATTTATTCAACATTTTCATTTACTTATGAGATGTTCCACAGTTATTCAGAGGATACAACAGCATTACTACTTTGGAAAGGTCTCGAAGACTATCATACTCTAATGAGAGATGAGAATGGAGTAAACAATTATTGGAAGCAGATTAAATCTCAACAATCAAATATAAAAAATGATCCATTGAAATGGAAATCAAAATTAGACGACAAGACTGTTACGTTAAGTTTTGTAAAACCTTTGACTTGTCAGAAACTCAATACTTTACCTTGCAAAGGAATATCTTATAATGATAGGGACATAGAAAAAATAATAAATAGCTCAAAAGACAAGGATATATCAAAGAGGAATAGAAAAGTTTCTTCACAATTACAAGCAGTTTCTAATAAAAAATCAAGTCAAGAACTTTTATCAAAATCTAACAGTGAACAGAAGATATCTACATATTTTATGAATCCTTCCAGAAATGATAATCTTAGAAAAGATATAAATTATACCACATTATCCAAAGTACAATCTGATCAAAATTTGGATAAATTTGTTCAAAAAATGCCTTCTAAATTAAGCAATAACAATATAAATGGTTCAATTAAAAACTCATATAGACCAGTAAATCCATACGCACCAAAATTACAACCAACTGTTCCTTCACAGTCCAATAGTGAAGACGATAAAGTACCAAAAGTTGCTCTTGACTCCTTCAGAAGTGCTAGGGATGAATTATACCTTCAAGAAATGAAGAAAAACAAAATGCCATTAAAAAAAAGTTTGGGTGGCCGAGCAGCAGCCAATGCTCAATTTGTTTGTCCATTTAAACGCGAGGAATCTGTACAAAGTTATAATACATCGCAAAGTAAAATGAACATGGAGGAGGAGGATGAAAGATTAAAAACATTGATCCAAATATGATTGAGTTGATTAAAAATGAGATTATGGATTCGGGCAAGACAATAACATGGGATGATATTGCGGGACTTGAATGCGTTAAAAAAATCATCAAGGAAGTAGTGGTATTTCCTATGTTGAGACCTGACATTTTCACGGGTCTGCGACGTCCACCCAAGGGGATTTTACTTTTCGGTCCACCTGGAACAGGAAAGACCCTCATTGGCAAATGTATAGCTTCGCAAAGCAAGTCCACGTTTTTCTCGATTTCGGCGAGTTCTTTGACCTCCAAGTGGATCGGCGACGGCGAGAAGATGGTTCGCGCGCTATTTGCGGTAGCCAGGGTTCATCAACCGTCTGTTGTCTTCATCGATGAGATTGACTCATTGCTGACAAAGCGTTCGGAAACGGAACACGAATCTTCTAGGAGGCTGAAGACAGAGTTCTTAGTGCAACTAGACGGCGCGACAACATCTGAGGACGATCGTATTTTGATTGTCGGAGCAACCAATCGACCTCAGGAACTAGACGATGCCGCAAGAAGACGTCTCGTTAAAAGATTATATGTCCCTTTGCCAGAATTCGAGGCACGCAAGCAAATAATAAATAATTTATTAAAGTCAGTGCATCACGATCTTAATGAGGAAGATGTTGCAAGAATTGCAGAAAGGTCAACGGGATATTCCGGCGCCGACATGACGAATCTCTGCAAGGAAGCAAGCATGGAGCCAATTCGGAGTATTCCTTTCAGCCAATTAGAAGATATAAGTACAGAAGAAGTGAGACATATAACGAACCGTGATTTCGAGCAAGCACTGATTAATGTGCGACCAAGCGTATCTCAATCAGATTTGAATATTTATATCGAGTGGGATCGCATTTATGGATCTGGAACTGCTCAAGGATATTAATAATTTAAAGCTAAAATCTAATATAAATAATTTAATTTTTTATAATATACTCTAAAATTCTCTCAGCTGTTATTTTTATAAATTAATAAATATACGAAGTAACGTGAAATATATTTATAAAAGTTTTAATTTATTAAATTATCATTAAATTATCATTTATCATTATTTTGCATTGTTATATTCTGATAAAAAAATAAAAGCTTTGCTATCTTCATATTAGGAAAAAAAGAAAAATGCAAGAAGTTTAGTTAAAAAGAATAGATCTAAAAATTTATCTGCAGTAATGTCGCATTGCACATCGAGGCTACTATAGGTCTGTTCTTTTCAACTGAACTTGTATTTCATCTTTCTTGCTTTTTTTCTCCTCATTGGAAAACAAGAGAAATAAATTGTAAGAAATTTAAATAGATATTCAGTATTTAAAACCATATTAGCATCTTAAGATATTACTTAAGCATCTTAAGACATTACTTAAGCAATCTTAAAACCTTATGTCCATGATGCTAGAAATTGGTCCGAGATCTCGGACGGAAAAAGAATTGACCAATCGTATTAAATGGCTGAATTATTCAAATGCAAAAAAATCTCTTTAAAATAAGAATTGTCTATGCCGATATTCATAGTCAAATCTTATATTTAAAATTGTCTTGAAAAGTTATCAACCAATCACAGAGCCGATTAGCATCTTAAGACATTACTTAGGGGGTCGGCAGGAGAGACTATGAAGCCTCTATCGGAGATGAATTCCTTTTTATCCATATTACGGCCAAAATACTGCGAGAAAAGCTATATAATTATGATATTTATAATCAGAATATTTGCTTGACGAAAGCTACAGAACGATTTTTATAAGAAAATGTGTGAAAATAAATAATTTATTTTATGCGTAAATAGATTTGCACTATAGGACAATAAGGTGCAAATATTTTTATCTATTGTAAATTTATTTTTAAGAGCCAAATTGCAAAATCCCGCTCTATAGCAAGAGTCAGGATAAAAAATACGTAGAAAAAGGCTCATGGCAAAATATTGCTTTTACGAGATGATATATGGGTATAATCAAATATATATCTGCACTGTAAATAAGGAGTAGATAGTTACATTTATTTTAATTATTTAAGAGTTAAATTGCAAAATTGGCTGTAAATATCTTCGTAAATATCTTCGTAATTGTAAAAGAAATTATCTTAGCAAAATTTCATGACGAAACATCGTTTCTATAAGACAAAATATAATTGAATATAGATACATATCTGCACTGTAAATAAGGAGTAGATAATCATTTTGGATCAAGTCGGAGTTAGCCCGTCACTCCTGCCGACCCTTAAGGCCGTTGCACGTGAAAAAATTTTAATCGTAATCGTAAGATCATAAACAAATTGACCAATCAGAATCAATTATTCTCCTTACAGTCTAAAAATAATCGATTGTAGTTGGTCAATTCGCTTACGACTTTATGATTCTACTAAAATTTTTTCACGTGCAATGGTCTTTAAGGCGGTCTTAAAATAAGAATTAATGGCTGGATTCCATAGAAAAGCGCATAGCGCGCATTTATCTATAATTCATGTCACGTATACTATAACAAAATGCGCGCATATGCGCTTTAACCTAGCCAATTATGAATATCGGCCTATGAATTTGATTTTAATGTAATCCCAAATAGGTCTCAATCTTGATAATTGTTTCCTATCTTAGTTAGAATATTCCATGACGCATCATCAACCATATGTCTAGAGCACTAGAGTAATTTATCGAAAATCGAGAAATTACTTTGTTTTGATCTGAAATAATCTGAAGGAAAGGTGCATAAGTTACCGTGTATGTGTCACGAATTCTAGTTAGATTGTTTGTTCTAATATATTCAAATATTTTCTGTTCTTGATTTTTCCAGATGTGGATGATGTGAGAGTTTTTTTATTATCCGCGTAAGCTACCAGGTAAAAAGCCGCATACACAATTTGCAAACATACATGACGAAAAACGCTGAATAATTTATTTTATTAACAGCAATTCGATGTTTTTCCGCATTTTAGGTCGCGAATATTTTGAAAGATAAACATCGATCGAGTTGAACGAGGATGTTCAATCAAAGTAATTCATTGAGGACGGCCACGTCGAACACATCGAATCCAATGCAGGACTTTGAGGTTGTCTCGCCGCCGGATGACTCGGTTTCTAGCTTGGCGTTCAGTCCGGCGTCCATACCGCAGAATTTCCTCGTTGCCGGCTCCTGGGACTGCAACGTACGATGTTGGGAGGTCGAGCAATCTGGTAAAACAGTACCGAAATCCATGCAGAGTATGGCAGCACCAGTTTTAGATGTATGCTGGAGCGATGTAAGTTTCTTTATTAAACAATTGTATGTAATAACTAATCAAGTAATAGCTAATGTAGTTAAGAATATATATTAGTTAATGTAACTAAAAAGTCATTCAGTAAAATATAACTGACGAGAGAATAAAAATGACACAAATTGATATTACCTAGAATTTATAGTTTTGCCTAATTATTTTTATATTTTAAATATGTTAAATTACTTGATATCTATAATAATTCAAAATTCTCATAAATTATCAGTTCTTTTTTCTTACAATTGATTTTAAAAGATCAGACTCATGATTGAAATTTTTTGTCAACTACTGTAATGTTAATTACAAGTATTTTTTTTTTTAAGAAAAGTTAAATCATGTTATCTTGTTTATATTTAAATTTTTTATAATCTTAACCTATCTATTCAATGTTCCAAACAATATAAACATAAGAAATATATTCTTTTTAAGTTTCAATAACTTTTCATTATTTTGTAAAAGTAAAGATTCTTCTTAAAGATTATATATCTATAAAAATTATAATTTATAAAGATTATAATAATAGCTGCATAATATAATTATTAGGATGGAACAAAAGTATTTATGGCAGGGTGTGATAAAACGGCAAAGTGTTGGGATTTGGCTACAAATCAAAGCGTTCAAGTGGCAGCTCATGATGCACCTATTAGAACATGTCACTGGATAAAGGCAACTACATACTCTTGTCTGATGACTGGTTCGTGGGATAAAACGCTGAGGGTTAATATATTTATCAAATTCTTTTATTTGTCGATTTCCTTTGATATTTGCAATTGTCATTGAAATGTATTTTTGTAATGTATCCATTGAAATTTTAGTTTTGGGATCTACGCAGTCCTAAGCCTGCAATGACTATCAATCTGCCTGAAAGATGTTACTGCTCGGATGTTGTAAGTATAAATATGTTCATATGAATAAAATATGATAAATTGTCATGCAGTATTATTAATATCAATGATATTACAGGATTATCCCATGGCAGTTGTGGGAACAGCTGGTCGTGGTTTAATAGTCTATCAACTAGAAGGCAGTCCACGCGAATACAAGCCTGTCGAATTGAGTTTGAAGTATCAATATCGTTGCGTAGCGATTTTCAGAGACAAGAAGAAAGTACCGACTGGTTTCGCAATAGGCAGCACAGAAGGACGCGTTGCGATTCATCATCTAAATCTTAGTACAAAGGAAAATTTCACGTTCAAATGTCACAGGACTAACGGCACGCCTAATGGATACCAAGACATCTATGCGGTTAATAGATTTTCCATTAAAATTATTGTATTATGTTCTTTATCTTCCTGGACAACGCGATAATTGAGCGATTTAATAAATAGGTAAACGACATAGCATTCCATCCAGTACACGGCACTGTAGCGACTGTAGGTGGCGATGGTACTTTCGGTTTTTGGGATAAAGACGCGCGTACTAAGTTGAAGTCTTCCGAAACGATGGAACAACCTATCACACGTTGTTGTTTCAATCATAATGGACAGATATTTGCGTATGCTGTTTCTTACGATTGGTCCAAGGTATTCCATATCATTCAAAATATCACTTGAATTGTTCATATATAACCTGATTATTGATTCACAAATGTTGCAGGGACATGAGTATTATAACCCAGCGAAGAAAAATCAAATCTTTCTAAGACCGTGTTACGACGAATTGAAACCAAAAGCTACACCTTGAATCTGATGATTTATCGAAGTGCTCTGCATGTGGATTCAGATGTAATAATTCAAATTCTCTATTTTTTAATCGATTGGCGGTGTTATCAATATTTCCTTTTTACTTAAAATCGATGATAGAATATACCGTTTAAATAATTGATTTTTTTGTATATATAAGTTATAATATAGGAGTTTTATATATAGAATTAGTATTAAGAAACATGTTTTGATAATGTCATTTGATATTTATGTTTTCATGAGCCATAATGTTGAATTCTGACGGTTGAATGTTGATGGACGGATCAGACTATGGCAGTTCTTTACAAAATGAGCTAATATTCAAATAAAAAATTATAAAATATACATTTTTTTAACAAAGTCGCACGGTTTTTTTCATGTTCAATATCTTGATTTAATTTCCCTTCTATGTGACTAAATGATATGTCATAATCAAAAAAATCAATACTATTAAGATTAAAGATGCTTATCATAAAAGCCAATATATCCTTACATTATTCCATGTATTTTCCTTAAAAAAAATTATCAAAACCAAATAAGAAAAAAATCTTGTCAATCATTGATAATTACATTATTTCTGTTTATCGAGTTATGCCGGCTAGTTTCTTTCATCGGCATGCGGCGGGCGAATATGCAAATTGATCGTAGGATGTGGAGTAACGCGAAGCAACACAAAGGTAAACAATATGGCCGACGTACGAGATATGTCGGTGCGCGGAAGCGGCACTGTCTAATAAATCAATATTTAAACTATGCACATCGTAATGACATATAGACATATCATTTAAATGCGCGGATTGATTAATTCCTCCGTCAGAGACAAATTCTCTGCGTTACAATGTCGTCGGAGAAGGTAGGTTATGTAGCATCGACATACACTTGTAATTTATGTGAAATTGTTTAATAAAAATGTCAAAGTTAACAATATAAAAAGTAAAGGATAGATTTAGATTTGATCACTAAATCTATATCTCTCTGTATCTGCGTTTCGTTTAATACTATTTTGCAGATTTTACTTTTCTCTACATTTGTACCTAGAAAGATTTGTTTAATGTTATGCATTTAACGACAGGTTCTTTATCGACTAGACCAACCTCATGGCATAGGTAACGTTGATATTTCTTGGCGTCCCGGTAACAGCACGCATCTGGCCACAGCGGGATCCGACCGGGATACCACCGTTGCCATTTTCGATAGACAAGGAGATATTCAAGAGCAAATACAAATTTCTGGACCATGTACCGGTTTCGGCTGGGACTCAGACGGAGATTTGTTGGCAATAATATCACAAAATTCATCCACGATAATTCTATGGGATGCCACGACCGGGAAGAAGTCCCAAATAGATGCAGGTGTAAGAGATGGGCTTACCTGTATGATGTGGGCGAAGAAAACTTGCCTGCTGGCGATAGGAACGCAGAAGGGGAATCTGGTCCTTTACGATCATATAAATGCCAAGTACGATATTCAATTACATTGATATAAATGAATTGAAATATGTAAAATATTTTAAGATGAAATTTTTATTTAATTGTTGGATATAGGCGGATACCTATTTTGGGGAAGCATAAAAAACGCATTTTATGTGGCGCATGGTCGGCAGATGGTCTTCTTGCTTTGGCAAGTGAAGACAAAGTTCTGACTATCAGCACAAGTGAAGGAGATACCCGCCGAGAGATAACTCTTCAAGGTGATCCGTCTCATATAGAATTTAGCGAGATGAAAATGGATCATAGAATAGGCGGTGAAAATACGGTATGATCTCATCAACTGTACTGTTAAAGATCCAAGATTGCCTAGTAATCTAGATAATCATAATTACAAATAATAAAGTTAAAAAGTTAATAACTTTGAGCTTAATTAAATGACTTTTAATTTAAATTACTTTTGAAAACACATTAAAAATTTTTTAATTTGTTTTGTAATTCATCTTTAACTTAAATTAAATAAAAAAGTAAACTAACTTAACTTACATAAAATACCATAAAAATATCATCATCATAAAATATTTATGTAAACTCGTTGCTTTTATATAAAACATTCAGGTATCACTTATCGTCGGCAAACAGACACTGTTTCTGTATAACATTCTGGATCCAGAAAATCCTATCGAATTGGCCTTTCAGAAACGTTATGGTTTAATTGTAACGTATAAGTGGTAACTATTTACAGTGTAATGCAAAATAATTATAATACGTTGAATGATATATTTTAAATGATGCACATACATTTTTACTTGACAGGTACGGTGACGGTTACATATTGGTAGGATTTGAGGCTGGTTTCTTTATAGCGATATCGACGCATATAAAAGAAGTTGGTCAAGAACTATTTCAAGTCAAGAATCACAGAGATACTTTGACGGACATTGCATTGAATCAAATAGTCGGAAAAGTCGCTACTTGCGGCGATAGTACGTTGAAAATACATAGTCTACAGAATCTCGAAGAAACCGAGACGCTAATCACAATAACCAACGAAAATGGGATTAGCAGTATCGAATGGTCAACGGATGGAACGATGCTGGCAGTCGTCACATACGTTGGCAATGTTTTAATTTATTTAATAGAAATACCGAAATTGACGAGCGTCTGCGGCAATAGAATAGCATTACTAACGAGTCTGATGGAAGTGGCCGTACATCTTTATACATTGGATAAGGTACGTTTGATGACGCAAGGTGACGAAGCTGTCATTTTCACAAGAATTCATGTTTTTAGGACAAACCAAATCCGCAAATAATCAACACTATAATAGAACCGGCGATATTAGCGGTGGGTCCGGTACATTTAGCGGTAGGATTAAACAATAGAGCGCTCTTCTGGGATTTGTCTATAAGTCATTACGATAAAATACACTTCGAGAGGGATTATTTGGCTACGATAGATAGTATGCGCTTGAACGAGACGTACGTTTCGGCACTATTCGACGGGAAATTGCAGTTGCATTCGGTAATTATATGAAAATAATAATAAAAATTTCATAACACGGATTTGCTAATTCCTTTATACATAGATTAAATCCGATCAAACTCTAACAAATGATGGGAAGGACACAAAGATGTTCCCAGATTCCAATTCTTCCCACGGCAGAATAACTTGTCACGCTCTTTGCTCAGATTTCCTGGTTTATGGTAATGACGTAAGTCAGCATTGTCCTGAGATAATTTTCTACGGTATTAAATATATATATAAGTATTAACGTCTCTTTTACATTTTTAGATGGGTCATATTATATATTTTTGCTTGGAAACGTTTTGTCAATGTACTGAATTTGTACATAACAATGGAATAAAGGAGTTATATTTGGATGCGAATGGAGTACAATTATGCTTCATTGACAATAAATCGGACATTTATGTATTTCACCCTATAAACGAAGCGACTATTGCCGTGCCCGATAGTCCTGATAACATTGATGGTATTCTCTGGGATCAGAACATATTTGAACGTGCTATATTTGCAGTTTACAACAAAAGTGTTATTGTAACATACATTTTTGTAAAATACTTTATTGAAGGCAAGTAAATATGAATGAGCGTTACACTTTATCACCTATGAAATCTCACGTATTACATTGAATAGGTACCAAAGTGATAAAAATAAATACGACTAAGTTGCCATCGGACTCACTGCCTTTATTAATGTATTCTGGCGAAGTAACGTTGAGTACGATGGGTAGTAAACTGATACAATTAACATTAACGTCTCACGAGGATATAGGAAATATTGTGGAAGCGAAGAAAATTAATGAAATTTTAAATAATCAGATTCTGTGTAGACGGTGAGATTTGTAAAATTCAATTTGCAAGTAAAAAAATATAAAATATTTTAAACCATTTTGTACTCTTTAGTTTTCAACAAGCGTGGAATAGTTGCGAAAAATTGAATGAGAAAGATGCGTGGCTAAAACTGGGACAAAGCGCTATCGCAAATTTAAATATCGAATTTGGTAAGCATAAGATTTCATTAATTTTCTATTATATTAAAATGTATATGTGTTATATTTAATTGATTGTATGTAGCTATTCGCGTATACCGGCAAATGGAAGATGCTGCAATGGTGTGGACATTACAAAATATTGAAAATATAGACGAATTAGCTCTGTTATGTGGTCATGCATGTTTATTACTGGGAGATTATAACGAAGCTGAAAAGTATTTTCTACAATCTTCCGAGCCTGTGCAGGCCTTATATCTGAGAAGAGATTTGATGCAATGGGAACAAGCTTTAAGTCTAGCGCAAAAATTAAAACCTGATGAAATTCCTTTTATCGCCAGAGAGTATGCTCAACAATTAGAATTTACGTAAGATAATTTTATTAATAAATATTATTAAAAAAGAGTATACTTTATCAAAAATAAATTAGATTTGATATACGATGATAACGCTTAATGGTTATTCAGTTTCATCATCAATAACGTATTTCATAAAAATATATATTATAATCTTTTTGTTATATACTGTACAACTAATTATTGAATAAATAAATCTCTTCATGCAGGGGAAACTATCCAAAAGCTTTGACAAATTATGAACGCGGTTTAGTTGACTATAACACGTCTGCTTTAGCTGCACAAAATCCTCATCATCGAACTCAATGTTTAGCAGGAATTGCAAGAATGTCTATAAGATGCGGTGATAGTAGAAAAGGCGTCGGAATAGCTATGGATAATGAAAGCTCGAGGTTATTACGAAAAGAATGCGCGGAGATTTTAGAATCTATGAAGGTACAGGTTTATCTTTGTTAAATCTCAAAAGCCATTGTATTTTAGTATCGTATAAATATTTGCGTATTCTTAGCAATTTAGCGAAGCTGCGCAGTTATATGAGAAAGCTGAATATTTCGATAAGGCTGCTTCTGCGTACATAAAATTGAAAAATTGGCACAAAGTAGGACAGCTTCTACCACAAATATCATCGGCGAAGATTAATATACAATATGCTAAAGCCAAAGAGTCCGAAGGTAAATACGAAGAAGCTGCGAAAGCATACGAAACCGCCAAGGACTATGATAATATAATTCGAATTAATCTGGAACATTTAAACAATCCCGGTAAATAGATTTTGTATTACATTTTGTTATCTCAACATGCAACATTTGTGTTGAAATATTATATTTCACTGTTACTCTATTTCACAGCTCGTAGTGTCGAAGTTGTTCAACAAACTAAAAGTATAGAAGGCGCAAAGATGGTTGCCAAGTATTTCCAAAAAATGAACGATTATAATTCAGCTATCAAATTCTTAATTCTATCGAATTGCCATGACGAAGCTTTTCAATTGGCTAATCAACATGGCAAAATGGAATTGTATGGAGAAATCTTGGTAAACACGATTGATGATACTAACGTCCGGAAAGAAGATTTCAGAAGCCTCGCGATGCATTTCGAATCTCAAAAAAACAATCTTTTAGCTGGAAAATATTATTTCCACGCAAAAGAATATCAAAAGGCAAGTTTGCGCGATCAAATTTAATTATGTAAATAATATCATTTTAACAGATTTCTCTTTTTAGGCTCTACGACATTTATTAAAAGCTGCGCAATTAGTACCAGATGATGATAGAGCGATTACCTATGCCATAGATGCTGTCGCATCTTCTAAAGATGATAAATTAGCTAATCAATTGATAGATTTCTTATTAGGTGGGGACGGATTACCGAAGGTTATTATATTTACAATATAATTGTTAATATTAAACATTTAAATATTTTATATAATGCAGATAGCGCTGCGAATAAATTAAATGCAACTTATAAAACATATATATATATATATATATATATATATATATATATATA